AATTCCCCTTAAGTTCTCCACCACCTTAACCAGATATTGAACTCACATTCTTTGGGTCCAGGACACATGGCACAGTGGATAAAGGCGTTAGTTAGATCCAGAACTTTGAGAGGGGAATTAACAGGAGATAACTGACATGGCACGTGGAACTAGAACAGTCTACCCCAGTGAGCGAAATAAAGGGTTCAGTTCGACATTCCATTCACCTGTAGAAGGCCGCAGCGTACAACGGCCGAAACGTTGTGATAAACATGGCGACAAAGATGAAGACAATAGCCCGAATAATGTAAATAGAATAATGTAAATCTTAACAATACACAAATCCCACATATTAAACATATTGACCGTAGCTATTTTATCAACATTTGCTTTTTTCAGCCTACATTTATATACGTTACAAATTAATCTAAACACAGCTGGCTATTTTCGCGGATTTTGACGTCATTCTGGAGTCTTTTTTCGACCAAATCCGTGAATTTGTTTTGCTCATGCCAAGTCTAGAAAAAAAAAAAAAAAACACTATAAAAAATTCTCTATTTTTATCCTTAATGTTGACTGGGTTAAAATTACTTAACGTTTTAACAAGAAAAATTAAATTATCTCTAAATCTAAATTTATATCTAAATTTATATCTATTATTATAATTTTGTAGTATTTATATCTAAATTTATATCTAAATAACTTAACGTTTTAACAAGAAAAATCTCAAGTTGATGTTAAAAATTGCCTAAAAAACATTGTTGATTTATTTAAGATGGACTGATTTATTATGACAGGTTTCTAAATTGTATATTGTATTTATTTTCAATTTTTGTAGACGAATTATTAACCTATATTGCATATGATCCATTATTGTGCATAATTAGGTTACAATCAAATATTTTATATGAATACTACCTTATGAAAATTGAGTTCTAGTAGAATAGGGAAGGGCGTATCATAGAATCGGGGCAAGTGTGTACGAGACCCTCGTACTGATCCTGATTCTGCTGACTCATCACCGTGAGATAGCTTTAGAAACGTTGCGACCATTAATTCATTTATTTTCTTATAAAATCCACAGTACTCGCGACCTTATGTATGCTGATAATAAGCACAGTAATATAAAACTTCGCTAACAATTACAGATGCATAAAATTCCGCAATTATTCTCTGTCGATCTACTCTCAGCGTTCCATCGATTCAGATGCCGATCTGACAAACGATAAACGAATGATTGCGAAAAACCGGAAAAGTAGGTTTCCACCAATCTAATATTAACAACTTGAAAACCGGACTGTAAACTTAAAAGAGATGTGAAATCAAGGCTGGTGAGATCAAACACTGCTGCTATATTTTCTGTTATCAGAAGCAATCGGGCTACATCGAGCCGAATCAATGACGTCAAAAATGGCTAATGTTAGCGGCAATGAAACGGGAGAAGTGACCAAAATAACATTTAGCTAGCAGCCAATGAATACACTGATTCGACGCGACCATTTTGGAAGCGGTCTGAGGAACCGTTTCCCTAATCTGCGTCTGACTTCTGCGTCATGAAACCCGGTTGGACGATTTCCTCGAATTCAACGCACCTTATTCTTTCTTTTCGTATTTTTATTTTATTTTATTATTTTTATTTGAATATTTTTTATTACTTTATTATTTTATTATTTTTATTTTATTATTTTATTATTTATTTTATTATTTTTATATTTTTATTTTATTATTTATTTTATTATTTTATCATTTTTATTTTATTATTTTTATTTTATTATTTTTATTATTTATTTTATTATTTTTATTTCATTATTTTATTATTTATTTTATTATTTTATTTTAATATTTTTATTTATTACTTTATTATTTTTATTTTATTATTTTATTTTATTATTTTTATTTTATTATTTATTTTATTATTTTTATTTTAATATTTTTGTTTTATTAGTTTATTACTTTATTATTTTATTTTATTATTTTATATATTTTATTTTTTAGTAAGTGTTGTTAAATGCATTTCTGCGGCATCTTGACTTCTAAACAAAATCGCATTTTCATTTTCAATAAGCCTACAATTTCACTCTCTCTCTCTCTCTTTCATACACACGCACACAATCACTAATTATAAGATATAACTTAATTAATTTCTTAAAGTAATGAATGTAATTTTCCTTATTTGAAAAATATTTTTGAATTAATAAATAATCATATAACACTTCTGTTTATTCCTTAGTTAATTAGTAAGTGTGTAAATTACTCTCGAGTAGTTTGTAACACCCTATTTATCATCTCTCAGTTGCGTCTTTGGGCAGAATACGCTCAGGAGCGGCTCCGTCAAAGGACAGAGTCGCAACTGAGGAAAATTATACTGAGAGGTACCCAGCCATGAGGAACAGCTGCCTGAGATGTCGCGCCCTCTCATTGCACCAGAGAGAGAGATCGGTGTTCGCACCGAGACCAGCGTAACAGTTGCGGGCGGCTTGGGCAATTTTTGTTCTTAGCCCGGGTGTACGCGCTCGGGCTCCCCACATTAAACTGACCTTGTATCACAACATGACCTCGTGGAGGAGTTGAGTAAATGCAAAGTGGTAACTTAATTACTGCGTGCATTATGTCCTTAGATAAATAATAGACCATTTCATCTTGATTACGAAAAAAGAAAATGATAAAGCAGAAATACTGTTTGGTTTAGTGAGAAAAAGGAAGTTTACGTTATTATGCAGGAAAGAAAGTGAAAGAAGAAAGGAAAGAATGAAAGAATTGGAAGATAGACACACACACACACACACACACAGACAGAGAGAGAGAGAGAGAGAGAGAGAGAGAGAGAGAGAGAGAGAACGATGGTGTCTTTTTTTTAGTGGTTTGGTTTGGTTTATTTTGTTTTACGGCATTATCAACCTCAATGGGTTATTTAATGCCGGCAACATTTTTAGGATAGATTCGTATGAATAGAGTATGTATTCTTTGGTTTAGATTGGTTTGGTTTATTTTGTTTTACGGCACATCAACCTCAGTGGGCTATTTAATGTTGTCAAATATTTTTATTGCTGGTAATATTTTGTTTTGTCAAAAATTGGCTTCTTGTAATATATTTCCTTCAAAATTGTATTGCTGGTAATAATTCTCCTCCAAAAAGTATTGCTGGTAATCGTTAACTATTTGCCCATAGCTGGGACCCTAACAGGTGCTACCATCTCGGGTCAGGGTGGACCTGGGAACACCAGAAATTAAGAGATGGTTTCACGCTCCTCAAAACCTCTTGATCAGAGGCCTTGCTGCTGGACGTAGTTTAACATCTTACCCAGGACGCGGATGCAGTTTAACGTCTCATCCAGGACGTCTTTTTTTATAGTGGAATTCGCAAGAAGTTTATCTAATCATTATAATAAGAATTATAATTCATCAGAAAATTCGAAAAGCAAACCAGCGAATTTTTCACTTTTTATAAATCTTGTATTTTTTTTTTTGTTTTTTTCTTTAAATTACTTTCGAATGAATGGGCTCCTGGCCCGGTGGTTAGAACGTTCTCATTATGACAATGTGACCCGGGTTCGAATCTCACTATAGTCCTGATGTTATCGGACTGGAGGAGTCTATCCCAGTGTGCGGCACGTTTGGAAAGTACCTGAAAACAATACCATGGGTTGACCCAAGCCTTGTGGATGAAATTGGGTAGATGGTACCCTTGGGAGCCGTCGATAGCTGTGCTAGTATGAAGTCACAAGTCATCGTTGCCGAGACCTTGAGCGTGCTGGCCTGATCACGCTAGATAACACGCTCTTTCCCAGAAACTGTAATTAAAGTCTCAGCAGAATTGCAGTATAAACCACAGGTGGGCTCTGTGGGTGTTGAATAAACACAAATAAACACAAATGCGCCTGAGCAAGCGTCTAGCCGCCTTAGTAGATAGGTAACCTTGAGTACGAGTGGCCAACTATACATACATACTTCACATACGCTCTCAGTGTACGGCACTCATGTCTTGTGAGTGAAACTGGGTATAAGAAACGGTTCGATGACGGTCAATGGTTGTGTTAACACGAAGTTACAAGTCATTGTGACCGAGGGCATGAGGTCTTATTCAAACTGTTGATCCCGCCTGATTATGCGTCCGCTCCCAGACTGCTGTATAACCCACAGGAGGTCTTTGTGGTGTGGAAAAACACAGATGATGCCTGATCAAGCATCTGCAACTAGTCGCCCTAGCAAACAGGACATTATATATATATATATATATATATATATATATATATATATATATATATATATATATATAGTTATCCACATACAAGCCTGTTTCACTGTATCACGGCTCATCACCCGACTGCTTCAAGCTGGGATTGAAACCCGACCGATTTAGAATCAGTCAGAGATCCTACCCCACGGCAGAGAAAGGGACATTTTAACGTATTATATATGGATGTATACAAACGCCAGCAGCCAGAGTGCTCAATTCATTAATGAAGAGCGGTGCGTTAACAGCGGCTACTGTTTTGAAATTACCCTTTTCTCTATAGTGCTCGATCGAATAACAACACACACACACACACACACACACACACACACACATATATATATATATATATATGTGGTTTTTAGTGGATACTCATATTTGAGTAAACGCCCTATTTATTAATTTATTAAACAGTATATTTATTAATTTTCGTCTCCCAGCCTGAATATTCGAGAAATCTGGAAAGCGTATATTTTTTTTTAATAAGATTTCTCAAATATTCAGGCCAGTAGACAAAAATAAATAAATCTACTGTTTAATAAATAAACGGAGCGTCTACTCAGATACGAGTATCCACTAAAAATAACGTTTAAAATGATAAAAAATCTATCGAATTGATAAACCAAGACTAGTAACTGCGCAAGCTTGATGAAATTTAGACCAGATTGCGAGAACAATTTAGCGAGGTGTCGAATCCCGTGTCAGTCGTCAGTCCTGCTGTTCTCTGAAGGTTTGAACAAGTTCCTGTGATCCACGAGCCTGGTGACCCACCCACCAGAGGTGAAATATGCTTAGCTGTCAGACAGATGAATACCGGGAAAGCGTTGATAGCATTCCTGCAAGGCAGACAAGAAATACCGAACATGCTTTCTACCATCTATCATTGGGCGCGGGAGAAAGGCGAAACTGTATAAGACAGGTGAGGTACCACCGCCGTGGACTTGTAAAGGGTGTTTCATTAAGGCGGATTATATATAAGGGTGTTTCATTAAGGCGGATCAAAATCAGCAGTAAATAAATCAGTGTTATTGGTGAAAATTTATTTATTTCTCTATTGGATTATATTATTTAAGTCATGGCAATAATGTGTGAAAAATAATATCGCCCGAAATGTCCGCCAAATCTGAAAGAAAAAGAGAAAAAATCATTAGACGCTTAAACTTAATTCACATTTAAAATCGGTCCAAGTTATTGGAACACCCTTTATAAGAAAGTATCCAGAGACATGCGATAGCTACTGTGGGATCTCCCATTTTTTGTTCTGGGAAAGTTCTTCGCAAGGATGTTTCTGAAACGTTTTACGCAGAAAGTTGCATCTAATATTATGCCTGAATCACAATGTATTTTTCAGGCAAACCGAGGTTCAACAGGCATCGTATTTACAGCGTGATATTTTTGTTTTTTGTCTTGTTTTGTTTTGTGGCATATCAACCTCAATGGATTATTTAACGACAAGACTTTTATTGCTAGTCATATTTTTTCCAAAAACGTATAGCAAGTAATCATTTTTTTTCTTCAAAATTCATTGTTGGTAATCATCTTTTACAAAAATAATATTCCTGGTATCAAAACCTATTTTTACACTTTCACAGTGCTTTGACAGCAGTTTGGGGGTTAACTATTTGCCCATAGCTGGGACTCTAACAGGTACTACCACACCGGGTCACGATGAACCTAGGAACACTCGCAATTAAAAGGTGGTTCCATGATCCTCAAAACCTCCTGATCAAAGGCCTTGCTGTTGGATGTAGTTTATCGTCTTACCCAGGACGCGGATGGATTTTATCGTCTTACCCGGGACGCGGATGGATTTTATCGTCTTACCCAGGACGCGGATGGATTTTATCGTCTTGCTCAGGACGTGGATGGATTTTATCGTCTTACCCAGGACGCGGATGGATTTTATCGTCTTACCCAGGACGCGGATGTAGTTTATCGTCTTACCCAGGACGCGGATGGAGCTTATCGTCTTACCCAGGACGTGGATGGATTTTATCGTCTTACCCAGGACGCGGATGGATTTTATCGTCTTACCCAGGACGCGGATGGATTTTATCGTCTTACCCAGGACGCGGATGGAGTTTATCGTCTTACCCAGGACGTGGATGGATTTTATCGTCTTACCCGGGACGCGGATGGATTTTATCGTCTTACCCAGGACGCGGATGGAGTTTATCGTCTTACCCAGGACGCGGATGTAGTTTATCGTCTTACCCAGGACGCGGATGGAGCTTATCGTCTTACCCAGGACGCCAGTGGGATAGTTTCAAGGAAATTAATAATTGTTTAAAAAATATCTTGTCTGTGACATGCCACCATAAGTGAAAAGGGAGAAAAAGGATGAGTACGTGAGTAAATCCCTCTCCCATAACTATCGTGCCGTTCAGAGAATAGTAAGAGCTAAAAAAAAACTAAACAAAGGCTGCTAGAATCATTGTCAACCTTGACAGGTATCAGGCAATAGAAAAGGAGTTCGTGCCCTTCGTTAGGGTTCCATGGTTTTGCAGTCAAAATACTCAGCGAATAACCAACAGTGCATAACCAAAACAAAGACAAGAGGGATACACGTGTATGTCACATTAAAAGCTAGATTCATTTTTTTTTTACTTCAGGAAAATCAAAATAACAGAAAAATAAATAAATAAACGAGGCTGGGGTGGGGAGAAGCGGAAGAGCGAGACAGAAAGAGGGAGGAGAGAAAAGCCATGAAGACAGGATAGTTCTTTAAGACAAAAAAAAATGGAAAACGGTCATTTGGGAAGAAGGAGAAATGAGTTTAACTCGCTGATGAAGACCGTGTCACGTGATCAGCGTTGTTTGTCGTATTGGATAGCATATAAGAATGCACCCTTCCGCACCCCGACAAAAAAAAGAAGAAGAATACTGAAATATCTATTCTATAATAGAGGAATATGAAAAGAATAGTGGAATATTAACCCGAGAAAATTAAAAGAATAACTAGAATATTAACGCTAGATTACTGGAACATTAATTCTAGATTAAAGGAATCATTAAAAGATTTATATTTGACATCCGTAGGTCTTGAGAAACCTTGAATCTGCGACCAAAGAGTGATGCATCAGCTACTGAAGGCAGTGCAACATTTGTTATGGCTGTACAGACCCACATGCTTTACCCCGGCGACAAGCTTTCGTTTCTTTTCTCTTTGCTCCAGCCCTCAATGTAAATCGCGTATACAGCATAAGTGATCGTTTGCGAAGCCTTCCCACCTTTCGATGTCTATGTCTCTCGCTGTCATGTCTCTTTTGAAGACGTCCTTGAAGCGAAGATAAGGTCGCCCTCGTGGCCTCTTGCCGGTGACCATTTCCCCGTGCGGATCTTCTGAATCCTCCCATCCATCCGGAGTACATATCCAACCAGCGGAGCCGGAGCTGTTGGAGAAGGGCGTATTGAAAGGTTACTGGAACATTAACTGTAGAATAATAAAATATTAAAAGAATACTGCTATGTTAACTCATAAATAATGGATTATTAAAAGAATACTGCATTAATATTAACTCTAGAATATTAAAATATTAACCTCGGAATACTAAAAGAATACTGGATTATTAATTCTAGAATACTGCACGATTTACTCTAGAATAGTGGAATATTGAAAGAATTTAGGAATATTAACTAGAATTGAGGAATATTTAAAGAATAAAGAACATTAATTCTAGAAAATTAAAATATTAAACGAACAATGGAATATTAATTCTGGAATAATAAAAGAATACTGGAATATTATTTCATAAATATTTGAATATTAAAAGAATACCACAATAGTAACACGAGAATACTAAAATATTAATCATAGAATATTAAAAGAATAGTGAAATATTATTTCTATAAGACTGGAACATTAAATGTAGTATTGGGGAACATTAAAGGAATACTGGGACATTAACTCTAGAATAAAGGAATATTAACTTTAAAATACTAAAACATTAACTCCTGAATGTTAGAATATTAACTGGAAATTATATGTAAATATGGAGACAGAGTTTAATATGCCATCAAATATGACATCATCATTTTTTGTTTATGTAATAACGTTTTATTGTGTTTTTTTAATCATTTAAGTCCAAGAAAGGCAGAAAGGCGGGGTGTTACAGAGAGTGAATGTGAGAGAAAAGACTGAGTATAGGGGGGTGAGGAAAGGATAAAAGATGAATGGGAGTCAAGAAGCTAGAAGATGACGATTGGCGTTGCATTTAAATTTTTTTAAGATTGTAGGTACCAGGGAAGCAAGTAAACGGAAGGGAGTTCCACAGGCGGAAAGTGCAAGAAAAGAAGCTGTTGGAGTAGAAGTAACGGTTACATTGATGCCAATCTAGTAGCACATTAATGTAGTCAGGATAGGAGGGAAAAAAGCTAATCAGAGCAGTTGCCATGAAAATATTTGTAGAAAAGACAGAGGGAAGCCATGTATCGTCGGCGAGAAAGTGACTGAAATCGAGATGCCAAGTCAGGATCGAACTTTCCTTGCAGTAGATGTAACTACTGATTCGACGTAGTCGTTCCACTTCAAGTCAGTTGAAAACGTGAGGCCAAGAAGTCGCAGTGTGTTGCTTTCCGGTAATCTCGCATTAGTCATGCTGATATCGGGCAGAAACGTTTCTCTATGGTGGTTAAATGAGAGCAGTTTAGTTTTGGGAGCATTTCCTGCACCAGGCCCTCCTCAAGAGCAGCGGCCAATTTAACTTTGTCAGCTCTGACGGATTTGCTATTGAGACTAGAGTAAATGGTAGTGTCAGCTGCATAAATGCCTACTTGGGAACTGATAACATCAGGAAGATCATTGATGAAGATTAGAAACAGCGTAGGTCTCACGATAGAGACTTGGGGGAGGGGACATCCGCGTTCGTGTGAAAGGATCTGGAAGCGAGCCTGTTCAAAACGAACTTCATTTCACGATTTGATAGGAACGATTGAATTAAATCAATCGTCCTGCAATGCCTGGAGATTACGTAGAAGACCAGCATGCCAAACCTTGTCAAACGCCTTCGAGATAACTAGCGCCACAGCTGGTGCCTCGCCGTTATTATCAAGAGCTTGATATACAGTGTGTGTGTGTGTGTGTGAGGGGGAACAAATAATCGTACACATACAAATTTTTAATTTATTGTATTTCCAACTAATGAATAAACATATTTTTCATATAATTAACTTTATACAGATGCGTAATAACTAAATATGCATAGAAAACAGAAAAAAATTGATTTAATAGAAACAAATCTCATTTATCCATTTTAATATATATATTAATATTCACTTCTACAGCAACCAACATCTTGTAGTTCTCAATTAATGATTTGTAAATTTTAGTTGCTATTTTGTTCCATTCTTCTTCGCATATGGTCTTATACTTTGCAATGAATTAACTAATGGTAGTAAATTGAATATTCAGGTTGCCTGAGATTTTCCTGTAAGTTTTACCTTCTTTCCGAAACTTAACAATCAGTTCTTTTTGCGAATTTGTCAATTCTTTACCTCTTGCCATGATGATAACCTTCTTGCACGAATATCAATTACAGAATGTTCTGTTTGTATTTTTTAGGATAAAAATAACTACTGATAACATTATGTGAACATTCTTGAATATTCCACTTGAATAATCTAGAGTATTAAAGCAATTTAAGCTTTAAAATCTGAAATTTACATTGTACGAATACTTTTTTCACCCATTAAAATGAATAAATGGGGTTTCTATTAAATTAATTTTTTTCTGTTTTCTATGCATTTTTAGCTATTATGCATCTGTCTACAGTTAATTATATGAAAAGTATATTTATTCATTAGCTGGAAATACAATAAATTAAAAATTTGTATGTGTACGAATATGTGTTTGTCCCCCACCCCACTACATATTCAGTGATGGCCGTTGGCACATTAGCGTTAGACCTGG